GTCAAAATACAACCCAGATATATGGTACATTAACATGGTTCTAACTGCTTGTCATTATGTTCACACACAGTAATATATGAGGTAGAATGAGGATTTGGTATCATATGTAATATATTGTGAACCCAGAAACAACATATAATGATGTATCTGATCGTTACTACTGACAGCTCAGTCTCTTTATGCTTTGCCATGACAATCAAATGCTAGCCCCGTACTTCATTACTTATTCAAATCCTCAGTCTTTCCACAGAACTGAAACCTGCCAAAGCCACTGAAGACAGAGCAGTATGCCTGATGATGGCCTCATGTGCCTTAAACGTCAAGTCTAATTGTGGAGCGGAATTAGCGCTGGGTCTCGCTGTGTTAAGAAGGACTCTTCCTTATCAGGAGATGATGAAAGCATTAGGTATTTAACAGGACAGGGACCCTGCTGAGCAATGTTAAACTTTAATCCTTTCTTCCAGTGGTTTATAAATTATACAAATTGCAGTGAATTGACAAACAAGCTGCTGTTTACCCTGATTGGGCTCAGACTAAATTCCCATTTACCCTTGAGAAGATCAAAAAAAGTTGAAGTTCATTCAGTAGAATTAACATGGTATGTCAAAATGATGCAAAATATGAGTAATGCAAAAATTGTGTGCTGTAAATCTCCTTCTGTGAGTTGTCTGTCACTATATAAGATAATGCAGCATGGGCTGAGTTTATGGCATTTCTCTGAATTTACAGAATCCTTTTGAATTTTTAAGTTGCTGCATCCTTCTTAGAACACAGTATCCTACCTGTAGACCATGCTGGCAGTGGGTTGGATGGATGCTTGAAACAAATGGCTGTGTACATGAAGAATCTCCTCCAAACTCTGCTGCTCTCGAGGTCTGCTGGCTTCAAAGCTTCCTGGAAGGCAGCTGGTGGGGCTTGAGGGGTGAACCCTGGTTCCTGCCCCCTGCCTCTGCTGGATGGAACTGGGGCAGCGATCCAGCCTCGGCCTCTGTCTGGACACGGGAATATCACTGCAGGCTGCCTTGAGATACATGTTTGGTCAACCTTGTCTCCCACAGGCTGATGGGACACTTTCCTTTGTTAGCAAATCCTTTTCAATATATTTAGTCATTGTGGGGAGAGAATCCGGCCTAAAAACATCTCCATGTAAGTACAATGCAATGCTGGTCATGCGGGACTGCAGAGGATATCTGTATTTGTTGCTGAAGAGTTCTTGTCATTCCCAGGGCCAAGAGAGTGATTTAGAGTAACACCGTGACACAATATCTATAGATATATCAAAGTTGAACAAAGCCAAGACAGCCGGACATACACAGATGTACACACAATACAAAATTAACATACTAACATCAAAGCAAAACAGAGAGGGGGGCAGAAAAATCTCTGTGGGCCATACCTGTGATGTCAACTTTATTCTTAGATGATTGACAAATTAAAAGACAAAGGCAGCTTTTGTTTGAGCTCCTGGTGGCTCCAGTGAGAAAAGCCTGCCTGTGAGGCAAGCCAAACAAAGCTAGAGGGATATTTCTGTCTACTTGTCAGAAATATCTTCTTGTTACATCTGTTGTGTGTACAGCCGATTCAAGTTGCAGCTGAGAACAAAATTTGATTCCACCTAGTCTTCTCTGGTAACGTTTCCTTAAAGTAAATGATTAAACAATGATGGAAACAGAAATGCAGCCAGGTGCATGAAGCTATTAATTCACATCATTGTATTCATTTATTGTGAACTGATACCAGGTTCCTCCTTGGCCCATGTCAAAGAATGAGTAGACACATTTTGTGTATACAACTGCAACCTCTGGCATTAATGGCTGCTTTTTAGAAAAAGCTGTACACAAGACTTTAGGGCCATATCATAAGTTATTGTTACTGAATTATTTTTTTATTCTCCAAAAAGGCCGCATAGATCTGCAAGTTTAGGCCTTTTAACAGGGTAAATTCTAGGCTTTCTATGATTACATGTTTCTATTTTATCCGAGAGACAGATTTCTTAGTGATAGATTACGTCACATATTGCTGTCACATATTGCTGTCACATATAACCATAGGCCCTGTTACTAAAATGTATTTGCCTTTCTCAGAGCTCTTTGTGCTCCTCATTTAAACTGTATTCTTATTACTAATAAAGTAAATTTTTAACAGCTTTGTAAACACTTTTCTAAGACCAGCTGTAATTTTAAACAGTAAAACATTGTATATTTTATTCGCTTCACATTAGGCTACTTATTGTTTGGTTGTTTGCACAGTTTGGGGGCAAGGGCTTGCTAGAAGTAATTTAGAGAGGTAAAAAAAAAAATCCAGTGACCCTAAAATGTAATACATTAGTGGCGAACAAAGCCAGAGGGATATTTCTGTCTACTTGTCAGAAATATCTTCTTGTTACATCTGTTGTGTGTACAGCCAATTCAAGTTGCAGCTGAGAACAAAATCTGATCCACCTAGTCTTCTCTGGTAACATTTCCTTAAAGTAAATGATTAAACAATGACGGAAACAGAAATACAGCCAGGTACATGGAGATATTAATTCACATCATTGTATTCATTCATTGTGAACTGATATGTCAAAGATAGAGTAGACACATTTTGTGTACTACCGAAAAACTCTAAACTCCAATATGTCTGCCCTGTATCAAACTGTACCACC